CTTACAGAATCTCACATGTACGAACTATGGGCCCTCTGGTTCACAGTCCAGCACCCTGACCACTAGTTCACTTACAGAATCTCACATGTACGAACTATGGGCCCTCTGGTTCACAGTCCAGCACCCTGACCACTAGTTCACTTACAGAATCTCACACGTACCAACTATGGGCCCTCTGGTTCACAGTCCAACATCCCTAACCACTAGTTCACTTACAGAATCTCACATGTACCAACTATGGGCCCTTTGTTTCACAGTCCAGCACCCTAACCACTAGTTCACTTACAGAATCTCACATGTACCAACTATGGGCCCTCTGGTTCACAGTCCAGCACTCGGACCACTAGTTCACTTACAGAATCTCACATGTACGAACTATGGGCCCTCTGGTTCACAGTCCAGCACCCTGACCACTAGTTCACTTACAGAATCTCACATGTACCAACTATGGATCCTCAGGTTCACAGTCCAGCATCCCTGACCACTAGTTCACTTACAGAATCTCACATGTACCAACTATGGGCCCTCTGGTTTACAGTCCAGCACCCTGACCACTAGTTCACTTACAGAATCTCACACGTACCAACTATGGATCCTCAGGTTCACAGTCCAGCACCCTAACCACTAGTTCACTTACAGAATCTCACATGTACCAACTATGGGCCCTCTGGTTTACAGTCCAGCACCCTGACCACTAGTTCACTTACAGAATCTCACATGTACCAACTATGGCAATGTCCTGTAACTATCACAATTTTTCTGGCTTCCTATGTGATAAAAGCTGTTACAAATTCAGCTAAGCTCGTCGATGTGTTTCCCTTGGGAATAAAGTTTGAACTTGAAGCGAAATAGACAATTCTCTGTACAGAAAACCTTGGCTTTCTATTGGTTATAAATAATATAAAATTAAATGTCAGAGAGAACTATTAGCAATTTCTGATAGAGAGGATGTGAAGGGTGAGTGTGGCAAGTGGGTCTGACTTTCTATTTTATGGCTTTGTAACTATTTAAGATTGAAGGCTATAAAAATTTTGCTTTGGCTGAGCTATGACAATATTATAATGAGTAATTTCTTTTAAATTTTGTACTTCTCAAAGTGATGGTAAATAAATTAAAGAACAGGAGCTACTTAGAGAGCAAATGTCACAATTTTCATACTGGGGGAAATCGGGAATTTAAAAGAATATTGTTTTATAAAATTAAGTATTTAAAAACCTATATTAAAACTGGAATTATTAGCTACTTTTAAGCCAAGTTATTTGTAAACCATGAAAATAAAGTAGTTTAATTAAATTTTGAATGTAACTCACTAAGACCTTGTGACATGCACAGAAAAAAAAAAAGCTGCCAGCAGTGAGAGAATTACTGGGTGATTATATAAATCTTTCACTTCTGGGTGTATTTATAAACCCTTCTTAATTATTGGACAGGTCTAGAAATCATTTTACTGCTGGGTGAGTCTATATAAACATTTTTTTCCACTGTGCATATCAAATGTTTAACACTGGTTTATAACTTTTTTTGTATTTAGAAATGAGTGGACCAATAACCCTTTTAGTACTAGTAGGGTCCATAAATCATGAATTAGTTGATCTGATGTCAGCTGAGTAAAATATTGACAGTACACAGTATCGTTAAATCTTGTGTCTTTTTATATATAGTACACAGTATTGCTAAATCATGTGTCTTCTTATTGACAGTACACAGTATAGTTAAATCTTGTGTTCTTGTTATATATAGTACACAGTATTGCTAAATCATGTGTCTTCTTATTGACAGTACACAGTATAGTTAAATCTTGTGTTCTTGTTATATATAGTACACAGTATTGCTAAATC